TCCTAAATGGAAGCTTCCTTAATTCCTTCTGAGGTTTCTGGAAGCAGGACGCATGTCTGTGTCGTGTCTTTATCTCACTGTCACTTTCATAGATGGCTCCATGGCAACTCTTGAGACCAAGTACAAGCAGTCCCTGCCTGAGAATGATGTTGGCAACTCTGGGAATAAGAAAGCTGTGTGCTTTATGTTACTGCTAATCTAGTGTCAGGACAAAGTTATTTTTAAAACAGGAAGTATCTTCCTTTGATCTATTACCATTTGATGTCTCAGCCCTTGAGTGAGGCAAATAGCGACCACGGAGAGGAGAAAGATTAGGAAAGGGAGCACTTTTCCTTTATAAAAGCTGCACAAATTGAAGAAGGCTTCAGAATTCAGAACAGCCGTATCCAGTGCTTAGGTGTTGTTTCTTTAACCCTCAGCCTAGCAAACTTTGTTCTGGCAGAAGATGAGATGGATACTTCTGGGCACTTGTTGCCTGCAAGGCCAGAATATAAACCTTCTGGTGTTGTCTGGCCTTGACTCTATGCTGAATCTGAGGCCACAGGACTTTAGATAGAGGCTTGGAACACTCTGGACCTACATGGATCTCTGTAAGCTGGGGCCAGCCTAGGTGATGCAAGTTACTGGGAATCCTGGGGCTTACGGAAAAACAACTGCTTTAAAGCATGAAGTAGGCAGTCCAGGAGTGAAAGAGACAGGGATGGACTTAGTTAACTTGAAGCTCAGTCTCAGTTGACTTGAGATTCAGCAGTATGGTGAGTCCTCCATCAAAACATTGGCACTCAATAGAAATTATGGGGGTTGATATTAGATATCCTTCCTTACACTAGTCAGAATGCATCTCACATTTTCTACCCTGTGTACCTTGACAACACAGCACATCTAATTTATCTTATATAGATATTTAAAGATAGCTATTTTATTTTGACTTTTGCTTGGGGTCCCACCCTTTGAAGAACCATGAGCCACACTCTCACCTGACAGATTCCTTCACCCACGTGATTCAGTACAGGTTGTGTTGAGTTACCAAAAAGTATTAAAGTTTAGACTATAGGATGACTTCTTTTGGATTGTCATAAAGGAGATCCAACCAGTCCATCCTAAAGGAGATCAGTCCTGCGTGTTCATTGGAAGGACTGATGCTGAAGCTGAAACTCCAATACGTTGGCCACCTCATGTGAAGAGTTGACTCATTGGAAAAGACCCTGATGCTGGGAGGGATTGGGGGCAGAAGGAGAAGGGGATGACAGGGGATGAGATGGCTGCATGGCATCACTGACTCGATGGACATGAGTTTGAATAAACTCCAGGAGTTTGTGATGGACAGGGAGGCCTGGCATGCTGCGATTCATGGGGTCGCAAAGAGTCAGACATGACTGAGTGACTGAACTGAACTGAAAGGAGATTAGATAAGTATTGATCTGGGTGACCTTGAAAACTCAGATTTAATACTCCCCATGGGTCGCACAGGGGTCAGTCAGTTTTTATTCCTTTGGGCCAAGGCACTGTGCTAGACTCTGGGTGTGATATTTGGTTTCATGTGATTCCAAGCTGTCATGTAGCCTGAAACCAGTTACATGACTTTATTCTACTCCTATGCTATGGCAGTTCCTTAAGTCCTGAAATTGTGTGTATGAGTCAGAAGGCTTGAACATAGTTAAAACTGTTCACCATTCATATTTCCCCAGCTACCTTCATTTGATGAGAAACATCTAAAGAGATGCTATGTATTTAGAAGGAAGATAGCATGAGTTTGGTCAGGGAGATAGCAGGTCTTCTTTCCTTTCATGGAAGCTTTCTACTGTGAAGAAGTAGCCGAAATGTGATTTATTCTTTGCAGTGACCACATAATATTTCATCAGCAGTCTTTTAAAATTTATTTTATATTTTTCTTAATTAGAGGATAATTACTTTACAATATTGTGATGGTTTTTGCCATACGGCAACATGAATCACCACTAGGTAAACATATGTCCCCTCCCTCTTGAACACCTCTCCCACCTCCCTCCCCATCCCACCCCTCTAGGTTGTCACAGAGCATTGGCTTAGGGGTCTGTTCATCATACATTGAACTCCCACTGGCTGTCTATTTTACCTGTTGGTAATGTATATCAGTTCAGTGAAGTTGCTCAGTTATGTCCGACTCTTTGCAACCCCATGAATCGCAGCACGCCAGGCCTCCCTGTCCATCACCAACTCCCTGAGTTTACCCAAATGCATGTCAATTGAGTCGGTGATGCCATCCAGCCATCTCATCCTCTGTCGTCCCCATCTCCTCCTGCCCCCAATCCCTCCCAGCATCAAGGTCTTTTCCAATGAGTCAACTCTTCACATGAGGTGGCCAACGTATTGTAGTTTCAGCTTCAGCATCAGTCCCTCCAGTGTTAGTAGAGAGATACACAACAGTTTGTGGGTAAGGTCTGCTCTGCTTCTTCTGAAACCAGGATTCAGGGTCCCACACTGAGATTGTTGGATGCCATTTTCAAGACCAACACCACACTCATGCGGGAAGGGTTAAGGCAAGTTTAAGTAAATATTCCACAAGGGTTTTCTACCTTTTATTTTTTAACTTTTATTGGAGTATGATTGATGTATAATATTGTGCTAGTTTCTGTTGTACAGCAAAGTGAATCAGTTATACACANAAACTCAGCTCAGTTATCAACTCATGTCCAATCTTATTTTATTTTGGCTATTACATGCAAATATTCCCTTCCCAAACTGGATGATATTGAAGCAAATCTCAGATATCATATCATTTCAATGGTAGATGTTTTCATATATATGTTTAAAGGATAAGAATGCTTTAAAAAAATAGCCATAATCTGTTATTTGCTAAAAACATTAACAATGTATTATATCCAATTGAGAAAATAGTATGCACAATGAGATGAATAAATTCAGTTATCTAACCATGATTAAAGTTGTTGCATCCCATTTGTTGACAAGATGAAAATCTGATATCATGTTGCCCTGAAGGATTCCTTCTTTTTTTTTTTTTTGGCCAGTACCTTTTATTATTTGTTTATCGTTATTTTTTAACCATATCTTCATGGTCTGAGATTTTGAAACCTTTCTTGGGATAAAATAGTCCTGGGCCCCAAAACAGAAGCTTTGGGATCACTCCAAAATCACTGAGATAGAAGCGTCTGGTGTCTCCTATGTAGTTTTTGTCTTGAGCTTGAAAGGTTTGTTGCTGTTTAGTTGCCCAGTTGTGTCTCACTCTGCGACCCCATGGGCTGTAGCCTGTCAGGCTCCTCTGTCCATGGGATTTCCCAGGAAAGAACGCTGGAGCGGGTTGTCATTTCCTTCTCCAGGGGATCCTCCCAACCCAAGGATTGAACTTGTGTTTCCCGCACTGGTGAGTAGATTCTTCACCACCGAACCACCAGGGAAGCCCTGATTGAGAGGTTAGGAACAGTCCTAAAAGAATTCCACCCTCCTTTCTTCTGAAGTCAGTAGGGTGGGAACAGGCAAGCTAGCACTCACATTGGCGATACAGACAAGTAGGATGTAGGTCTGAACTCAGGCCTGGCAATCTGGAGGTGCTAGATTCAGGGTTGAGCCAAGAGGAATATTGCTGAAATTTGTGAGAGATTTGTGATTCCAGGCAATCTCTCCACCGATGACCCTGTATTTCAAGTTAGCCACGAAAGAGAAAAAAAAAGATCCTGAATCTATCTAGTATCACTCTTGTTTGTCAGGCATTCCTAGGGATCAAATCAGTTAAACATCATTGAATTCTTATTGATATAATTGCACTCATGTGGTTAAGACTGTGCTTCCAATGCAGGGAGCATGGATTCAAGCCTTGGTTGGGAACTAAGATTCCACATACTGCGTGGCATGGCCAAAAAAAAAATAAAGGATGTGTGTGTGTGTGTGTGTGTGTGTGTGTGTGTGTGTGTAAACACCTGAAACTAACACAACATTGTACAATCAACTATACTTCAATAAAAAATGTTTTTATTTATTTAAAAGCTGTAACTAAAAAGCTAAAGATCACCTAACTAATGTTTGGGTGGGTTCATTAACCTCTCTGAGCCTCAGTTTTGTCATCTGTAAATTGATCATAATAACAGTGCCTACCTCATTTGGTTATGAGAATTAAGTATTGCCTGTGAAGCTCCTAGCACAGCACCTGGCACATAGTATGCCCTTAACATTAGTTGTTACAATGCTGCTGCATTTTTTATAGACCCTAGAATAAACTTCTTCAGAATTTCTAAAAAGAGACCTTTGACTGGCATGTGTGCAGCCCTGAAGTATTTTTTGAAATTTGGCCTGTGTGTCTATGCCCACATATTTACATAAACTTGCATAAGCTAGTACTTCAGCACACGTTTACCACACTCCATTAAATTTTGGGCAAGGCTTAGGCATATTTGGTTGGCAAATGCTCTCACAAGTAAATGGATAACCTGTTGCATCCTGATTATGTTGTCTTGGAGTTTTAGCATGTATAAGATTTAGAGGCTTTTTGTTTGCTTTTTTCTAAATGTTTATTACAAGTAAACTGAGGAGCTGTTAGATATTTTATTACTCAGCTTTTTGTGATACATTTCCAGTAAATCTTTTCAAGCTACTGCATCAGTTTTGATTCAAGAAATCTCGAGATTGTAGGGAGAACTGCTGCAAAAGCAATTAGGATTCACACCTACTGTCTGACTCAAATTTGTCCCCATATTGTGTAATCCAAAGAAAATGCAAAGATAAACTGGATGCTGATATTCCTGTGCAGCTGTCATCCATAAATGACAGTTTTCCGGTCTTTATGTTCGTCAAAACAGTATCGTTCTTATTGGTTAACTTAACGTTAAATACATGATATGTTTTGTAAAATAAACCAACTTAAGTAAGATATTGTTTTTACCTGATCCAGAGTTAAGATGTTTTAAAAAAAAAAAAAAAACCTCCCATGCTCAAGAGTTTGACAGTCTCTCCTTAATGATAGAGAAGGGCACCATGCCCCCAAACTAAGTGGCACCAGACAGATGAAATATTTTGAATACTCATATATTTGTGAAGTTTGAATCTCTTTTCCCAATTAGATATTACATCTGGCTGTTCCTGCTGATCACAGCGATCATCACTTCAGGCATCTTGGCAGCCATAACCCAGAAGACAGCTGAGAATCTGGAAGGAAACAAACACTTCTGAACCACCAAAAATCAGTGTTGGAAAATAGATCAAGTTAGAAATGCTCATGCATTTTACACTTGGAGTACTTCCTGGACTCTCTCGAGTCTATTTACTTACACCCAAGTCACAGCTTTAACAGACTTGATTTTCTGGTTTTTCTGCAATCATACAGAGCAGGTTAGAGATAGACATTACAGTACACTGACAGCAGCCAAGAAATTAACAGCATTAGCCGAAAAGAAAGACATAGAAAGCTATAACAGAGACAGATGAATACTCAAACCATAGCAGCCTGGGAAGCACAAGTTTATGTGGTACTTGAGTGCATCAGTATCTAGCAGGTGCAGTAATTGATTCTCACATGACCCCGAGTCATCAAAAGAGCTAAGATTTTCTTCATATTTCTTTAAGAATATGAGAAGTGAGTCATGCATTTTAGAAAGATTTCCTTCAAAAATTCTCTATAATTTGGCATTTATATCTTCAAAGTCATTGGTAAAATGCATGGATTGGGTCAGAGCTTTATATATGTTATGAAATCTGCTTTATTGAGATATATACATATATAATTCACCCATTTAAAGTGCCCAGTTCAGTGGTTTTCAGCATATTCACAGTGAAACCATTAACACAATTTAGACTACATCATCACTCCCAAAAAAAAACCTGATTAGCAATCCCTCCTCTTTTCCCCCACAACTCCTAATCCTAGACAACTACTGATCTTTTTGTCTCTATAGACTTGCCTATTGTGGATGTTTCATGTAATATCTGGTCTTTTGCGATTGGCTCTTTTCACTTAGCATAGTGTTTTCAATGGAGAAGGCAATGGCACCCCACTCCAGTACTCTTGCCTGGAAAATCCCATGGACGGAGGAGCCCGGTAGGCTGCAGTCCCTAGGGTCGCTAAGAGTTGGACACAACTGAGTGACTTCACTTTCACACATTGGAGAAGGAAACAGCAACCCACTCCAGTGTTCTTGCCTGGAGAATCCCAGGGACGGGGGAAGCCTGGTGGGCTGCTGTCTATGGGGTTGCACAGAGTCGGACACGACTGAAGTGACTTAGCAGCAGCAGCAGCAGTGTTTTCAAATTTCCCTTGTGTCTTAGTATGTATCAGTATTTCCTTCCTTTTTATTGCCAAATGATATTTCATTGTATGGACATGTCCTATGTTATTTATCCATTCATCAATTGATGTACATTTCTGTTGTTTCCACTTTTTGACTATTACATGTAATACTGCTCTGATCATTTACATAAAAATTTTTGTGTGGGCATATGCTTTCATTTCTCTTGGGTATATACTCAAGACTGCAATTGCTAGATTATAGACAAGCTTATGTCTAACCTCTAACAGAACTGCCAGACTATTTTCCAAAGTGACTGCACTGTTCTATATTCTGACCATTGGTGTAGGAGGGTTCCAGTTACTCCATATCCCCATCAACACTTGTTATTTTCCATTTTTTAAATAATAGCCATCCTAGTGGGTTTGAAGAAATACCTCATTGTGGTTTTGATGTGCATTTCCCTAAAAAAGTGCCCTTACATCCCTCCAACACTAGCATCCTGTGATTTTGAAACATTTTGTAGGTTCAGAATTTATCTGCAGTTTAATTAGAAGGTTCCTGAATGGCTGGGAAGTGTCAGACTTTACTGTGCTCAAAAGAGAACCCTGCATAGAACTGCTGCCCTTTGTAAATATTAAAGGATTGTTTTAATTAAGTAATGGCTGGTACAAGGACAATGTGAATTTCACTCATAGCAGAATTTTCACTTCTTTCCAGACTGTTCTTGATTAATGATCAGTCCTTGCAGAGGAGAATGTAAATGCCAGGAGACCAGGTCCATTGCTGCATCCTCACTCCGCCATAGTGCCTCCCAGTCTACAGAACAAAGTATCTGTTCAGTGAATCGGTGGGGGCATAAGCATATAACTTGGTCTCAGATCGTTGAAGGAGGGTCCTTGTGACCTCCTCGATTTCAGCTTGTATTGCCATGTGAGCAGTTAGCACATCTTTTCTCAGTCCCCGCCCAGCTAGACCTGAAAGGTTTGTCAGGCTTTCACAGCTAAAATTAATGAACAAAGTTCATTTCTGGTAACCCTGTTGTTCTCTGCAGTGCCATCTAGCAATGCTGTTCTCCCTGAAGCCTCTTTAATTAACCACTCCCTGGTATTAAATTGTCAATAGCGACCCTAGAGTAAATAAACATGCTCTGGTGGCTTGTCAAGACACAAAGCTAAACCTCTTGGAGATTTAAACTGGGATTTGTTTAAGGAGATAATGAGATTACCATCTTGAGCTTCACTGCAGGGTATTAGAAAGCTGGAAGAACCATCCTTAGGTGGACACTGGGATCAGCTCTGGTGGCTGAAACGATCACACTGGAGACAGTCACACAGGTGCACTGCCTTCAGGTCCCCTTGGCACATCTCTGCATGGTCAGAACTGTGGCATCTTCTTTTTAATTCATGGACTGTATTTCTGATGAAGTGTTGTTGTTTAGTCACTAAGTCGTGTCTGACTCTTTGTGACCTCATGGACTGTAGCTCATCAGTCTCCTCTGTCCACGGAATTCTCCAGGCAAGAATACTGGAGTGGGTTGCCATTTCCTTCTCCAGGGGCCATCTTCCCAACCCAGGGACCAAGTCCCTGTCTCCTGCCTTGCAGGTGGATTCTTTATGGCTAAGCCACCAGCAAAGCCATTTCTGATGAGTAGAGTGGTGTAATTAAAGGTGAAGGCCACATGGAAGGTTGATACTCACCCTCCTCTGCCTGCAGATTGAGCAAGACAGACCGTCTGGATGAGACATAGAGACTGTGACCGTAAAGATCTGTAATTGTATCCATCTCCTGCCACCCCAGGTGGTGCAGTGGTAATGTTTCCTGCCGAGGCAGGAGACTCTGGTTCAATCCCTGGGTCAGGAAGATCCTCTGGAGGAGGAAATGGCAACCCACTCCAATATTCTCGCCTGGAAAATTCCATGGACAGAGGAGTCTGGTAGTCTACAGTCCATGGGGTCCCAAAGAGTAGGACAAAACTGAGCATGCACACACACACACCCCGCCACCCGCCAACACACACACACACACACACACACACACACTCAGCCTGAGAATATTGCAATGGGATGGGAAACAAATTTCATCTGCCTCTCATTTCTCCTTCTTAAGACCTGTTGCAGGAAAGCAGGGCTGGACTTCAGGGGTAAGGGTGAGAAGATGAGTTCGATGGCATTGGAATGACAGCCCTTGCTGTTCTGACTTCTTGTAAGAAGGTGGAATGGGGAGAGAGATTCTAGGACCTTGGAAGAGAGATTGCACCTCACTGAGCCTCTCAGCAACTCCTGGAAGAGACTTGAGGAAGAGTTTGTTTTAGCCTCAGGGGTTTGACATTTTGGGTCCCGTCATGTCTGGCTCCAACTTGGCCCCGCTTCCTCCTGGCCCAGATCCAGGCTAAGAACACATTTGCTGGTGCCACCACAGTGGTGCCCTGCAAAGCCTTTTTTTCCCCTCCCAAATCTTAACCTTAAAAAAAAAAAAAAAACAAGAGAGACATAACTTTCATGTCAGTATACCTGTTTGTTCTGATTTCATGTGGTTGTCTGTGCTGTGGGTTGCAAATCAGAGAATATCGATGAGTGCTGTTGCCAGAGCTTACTTCTTTATGGAAGAATGCCTGGTTAACTTTCTAATGGAAGTCACTGGGAGAGAGGAGCACATGATGAAATTTAATTATATGTGGAACATTTCTAGACCCATGTCTGTTGGGTTCAGTCCCAGTTGAATGATAACTGGAAACTTGAGAAGCTGTGTTTAAAATGTGAAAATCACCTGCGGCACTCATGTTATAAATTATCCAGAAATAATTTCATTAGCAAGTGATAAGATGTTTCCAAGTCCCTCCTGGGAATGGGGACATCAGCCAGGTCATTACCTTGCATTGCCCTCAGTTGGCAGCCTGAGCTCCCTAGCAGTTATGAGCAAAGACAGCTCATTCAGACTCTGACTCTCACTTTCAAATTGTGGTCCAATACTCAGGAACGTTCAAGAGCGTTTATTTTGATTCAGCTAGAACCCTGGTTTTGAACTTGACCCATGAGAATTCCAGGGGCCCCTCCTTGAAAACACTGTCTCTAGTCCTCCTGCTCGGGGCTCTCTTTGCTCATAACTGCTAGGGAGCTCAGGCTGCCAACTGAGGGAGTTGCTTTCCGGAAATACAGTTGTAAGAAAATCACAGAGCTCCAGTTCAAATTGCATGTGCAAAGTAGACCCTGATTGGGTATCACATCATTTCTAACCTGGGGTTGGGCACAGAGCAGAATATGAACACAGTCTCACTCTCATGGATCTCAGGCACTCTTGACTTTGTGGGCCTCTTGCTCCATTTAAAAAAAAAAAAACATGCATTTTACAACTGTTGCTATAAAGTTGGATGTTGTTATGTATGACAGCATTTTCTTTGACCTGAAAATTCATGTTTTCTTCTGATTTTTTTGTGATTGCTTAAAATATGGTAGGCATGTAACTTGTGGTACCTAACAGTTAACTGGAGCCTGTATGGCAGAAGTGGTGAAATCCAGAAGTTAGTTCTGGTGACTGTAGTGGTAATGCTTCTACTTGCCTTGGGAGTTCTGAAAGGATTATTCTTTGAAAGGACTCTTCTCGCTGTTCTGTTCCCCTTTTGCATATGATAATATGACCGGCCCTTTGGTTCCTTCCCACCTGTCTGGGAGAGAAGGAGAAAATTGATGGGCATCTGAGGCTTGTCAGTGGAAGAAGGGCTATTGTCACACCTTTGCTATGGTGATCCATCCCCCCAAACATACCTGTGCTTTCTTAAGTGTGTTCTGAATCCCAAGTTTAACATTCAGGGTGTCAGGGGTGTGCCTTGCCAACACTGGGAAAAATCAGGTCTCTTCCTACCTGAAAGAGGCCTGGTGATGTCAGGCATCTAACTGGCTGAACAACTATGCTCTGAGTGCCAGGCTTTCCCTGTCATTCCTTTTCTTAAAAAAAAAAAAAAAAAAAAAAATTTTGTTTAATGTGGACCATTTTTAAAGTCTTTACTAATTTTGTTACAATATTGCTTCTGTTGTTTATGTTTTGATTTTTTGACCACAAGTTACATGGGATTTTAGCTCCCCAACCAGAGATGGAACCTGCACACCCTGTGTTGGAATGGGAAGTCTTAGCCACTGGACAAGCCAAGGAAGTCCCTCTTTTTTTTTGTTTCCAACCTTTTAAATTGAAATATAGTTGCTGTACAATATTATGTAAGTTAAAGGTGTACAGTATAGTGGTTCACAATTTTTAAAGGTTATGGTCCATTTATAGTTATTACAAAATATTGGTTATGTCCCATGTGTTGTATATATATCCTTGCAACTTACTATACTTAACAGTTTGTACCTGTCACTCTCCTACCCCTTTCTTGCCCCTGTCTCCCCACTGGTAACCACTAGTTTGTGCTCTATTATCTGTGAGTCTGTTTCTTTTTTGTTATATGTACTAGTTTCTTTTATTTTTTAGATTCCCCATATAAGGGATAGCATACAGTATTTGTCTTTCTCTGGTTTACTTATTTCACCAAGCATAATACCTTCCAAGTCCATCCATGTTGTTGCAAATGGCAACATTTAATTCTTTTATGTTGACTGAGTAGTATTCCATTGTGTGTGTATATATATCACATTTTCTTTATAGTGCCGTCGTACATTTTGGTAACAGGCTTGATGTGAGCAGAATATTGCTTGAGAAAGCAATTGTTGAGATGAGTAATCCAAATTGTTGAGATGAGGAAATGCAGGCATGCTTTTTCATGAGCAAGACCACAGATCTGCTCTCTGTTCATTGAAGTGAAATGAAAACTTTTTTTTTTTTTTGCTCTTGCATCATTACAGAGATGTTTTTGATTGAGAATTGTAAAATAACTCTGCTTATGAAAATTAAACATATTGATTGTAAAAATTGAAAAACATCCTATCAGCAAAGCCAGAAGAAGAAAAAAAACACAAGCCCACTATAATGGGCTTCCCACATGGTGCTGGTGGTAAAGAACCTGCCTGCCAATGCAGGTAGACGTAAGAGACATGGGTTTGATCCCTGGGTCAGGAAGATCCCCTGGAGAAGGGCACAGCAACCCAGTCCAGTATTTGAGCAGAGGAGCCTGGTGGGCTATGGTCCATAGGGTTGCAGAGGTGTTGGGTCCAGGGACTGTCAATATTGTTGATAAACATGTGGTCACTGAGTGTTAATAAAAAGGTATGTAGGCTCTATTGGTTTGCAGAGAAAAATAAAGGACTGAAGTGACTTGGCACACACTATCCATAATGCCTGTTAACATTTTGGCCTGAAGTTTCTAGTCTTGTTTTCTGGGAACAAATAACTGTTTAATTTTTACACAAAACTGTATTCATACAAAATGTACCACTTAATCACCTGCACTTTTCACCTAATAATATACAATGAACATTCTCCTCACGTCATTAATTGCTATCTTACCAAATGATTTTGATGGTGATATATTGTTCCTTTGTGTTAATGGATAATCATCTATGACCAACCTTTTATTTTTGGACATGAAATTCATTTCCTCAGTAGTAATAGTAAAACTTTAATGATTTTTCAGGTAAATTTTTGAATGCATGCTTAATTATTTGTGTAGGGTAAAGTGGAACCAGTGTATCAAAGGGCATAGGAATCTGGTGCTTTTTAATATGTATTTCCAAATAGCCCAGAGGAAGGATTGCAACCATTTCTAAAAGTGCCTGTGTTCTGATACCTTTGTGCTGTGCTGTGCTTAATTGTCAGTCGTGTCCGACTCTTTGCAACCCCATGGACTGTAGCTTGCCAGGTTCCTCTGTCCATGGGGATTCTCCCGGCAAGAATACTGGAGTGGGCTGCAATGTGACTAAAATTTAAAGAAATCTGGTATGCATTAATTTAAAAGAAACCATGACTCAAGTTTCTTTGCGTAGAGTATTTAATGTTTAGCAGACTGCTCTGTGTACAATAATTATGGGTTTCTTCACAATGTTATGGAAACCCTTTTATTAAATTTTACATTTACCATTTTCTTCAAGGTCCTTAAATAGTTCTTAGGTTTTCAACTCTTATATTTTATGCTGTTAAAAGTATGCTTTTGGAGGACTTTGTATATGTGTAATTGGGATGATGAAATGTAAGAATTTAACAGAACCTTAGTTAGTTGGGTTAGTCTATTCATCTTACAGATTAGTAAATGGCTCAAGAAAAAAACTTGCCTACAATCATTCTGTCTGTGACTGACAACTCAACTCAGACCAGCCTGGCAAAATGGGGAATATGTGGGCTCATGAAACTGAATATAGGTTCTGTTACCTACTGTGATCAACCTTGGATAAGCCCTTGATCTTTCCAAACCTCAATTTTGTTATCTGTAAACGAAGTGTTGAATTTGACCAAAGACCCCTTCCACCTCTTAAAGTTCAATGCTTCCATGAATATATTAGCAGAGAATTTCATTATGCTGTCAATCAAATTTAGACACAGTGAG